GAGCTTGAGCTCAATGAACTCCAATTCTGAGTTCTCCTCTGGTCTTTTTCGTTCGGTTCTGAACTTAATTTCATTCTCCGCAAGATCTTGAAAGAACAAGAGGTTCAGTTGCCATCCATTCAGCACTTAAGATTTTGTTTGAAACGTGTGGTTCTGGGTTGTTCTAGCAGAGCCATGAGTGCCAAATCCAACGGTTTTGTGACGCCTTGGGGCACGGCCTTCAAAATCCTGACGGCTGAACCATGAAACTTGCTGGATGCAATGGCATTTCACACCGAACTGCAGGATTTGAGGGGACAAACTAACCTTTGGAGCAGTCCGGAGATATCGCTTCGATGTTGAGTGAAACTTATCAGAACCTCCCCCAAGTTCAGTTTTTCAGAGGATAAGCTGTCATGGCACTTTAGGATATTGCTCACAGTAGAACATTGTGATCATTGTGGGCATGAAATTCACAATCGAGTTTGAGTTCTTGAGCTTGAGCTCAATGAACTCCGATTCTGAGTTCTCCTCTGGTCTTTTTCGTGTGGTTCTGAACCTAATTTCATTCTCCGCAAGATCTTGAAAGAACATGAGGTTCAGTTGCCACCCTTCAAGATGCCACAGACTGTCCCGATGCAGCCGTTCTGTTGTGTCCTTGCGCCAGCTGTCTTCAGACCACCCATTTGGTGGCACTTTAGGATATTGCTCACAGTAGAACATTGTGATCATTGTGAGAGCATGAAATTCACAATCGAGTTTGAGTTCTTGAGCTTGAGCTCAATGAACTCCGATTCTGAGTTCTCCTCTGGTCTTTTTCGTTGGTTCTGAACCTAATTTCGTTCTCCGCAAGATCTTGAGAGAACAAGTCGTTCAGTTGCCACCCTTCAAGATGCCACAGACTGTCCCGATGCAGCCGTTCTGTTGTGTCCTTGCGCCAGCTGTCTTCAGACCACCCATTTGGTGGCACTTTAGGATATTGCTCACAGTAGAACATTGTGATCATTGTGAGCATGAAATTCACAATCGAGTTTGAGTTCTTGAGCTTGAGCTCAATGAACTCCGATTCTGAGTTCTCCTCTGGTCTTTTTCCTGTTGTTCTGAACCTAATTTCATTCTCCGCAAGATCTTGAAGAACATGAGGTTCAGTGCCACCCTTCAAGATGCCACAGACTGTCCCGATGCAGCCGTTCTGTTGTGTCCTTGCGCCAGCTGTCTTCAGACCACCCATTTGGTGGCACTTTAGGATATTGCTCACAGTAGAACATTGTGATCATTGTGAGCATGAAATTCACAATCGAGTTTGAGTTCTTGAGCTTGAGCTCAATGAACTCCAATTCTGAGTTCTCCTCTGGTCTTTTTCGTTCGGTTCTGAACCTAATTTCGTTCTCCGCAAGATCTTGAGAGAACAAGAGGTTCAGTTGCCACCCTTCAAGATGCCACATACTGTCCCGACGCAGTGCCAAATCCAACGGTTTTGTGACGCCTTGGGGCACGGCCTTCAAAATCCTGACGTTTTTGCAAGTCACTGAAGCCTCCCGACGGTCGAATCGGCCCGAGGCTTGAAAACAGAAGAAAGAATGCGTAAAGCGCGCTGCAAGCGAAAAACTTCCCGAAGGTTTCAGATGGAGTCATGCAGTCATGCAAACTTTTTTGGCTACTTTTTCCATTGAGAGGTTCCTGGTGATTGAGAGGAGCGCAGGATGCGCATCTATCAGATCTGTCAGATCTATCAGTCAGCCATCTGTTCTGGGCCAGGGTGCGACTTGGAATGGGTTGAGTGGACCACGCCACAGAAGGCATGTTTCAGTGGGCTTGGCTGCGAAATGTCGTAGCTTGGGTGCTTGAAATCAAACACGGCAGTCATTGGCCTTGCCAGGCTGAGTTGTCATGCACTTGATTGCTGTGCGTGAACATCCTCAATGGTGGTTCGTTGGTCGCCTTTTCAGAAGGTCCAACCACTTGAAGGGCACCATGCAAAGGGAGCCTTGACTGGTCAACCGAAGCACAGCATAATGAGCTGCTGATGGATTGAACAATTTCATCATGGTTTTTTGGGCAACATCACGGTATTTCGCTAGGACTTCCCAGACTTCCCAGGTTTGGGCCGTTTGGGCTGTAGACCGAAAGTCATTTGTTCCAAGCGTTGGCCCGTTGGCTGTTGGAAGTTGACCAAGTGGGTGTCGTGATTCGGTCTGGTGGAGCACCCAGCGCCAGCATGAAGACTGCCTTCATTCATCGACATCAGAAATTTTCGGACGGAACGCTATGGATGTGAACGTCTGATGCCTTTAGGTTAAAAAGTCCACGGAAGTGGCACACAGGTTGGGCCGTTTGGGCTGTAGACCGAAAGTCATTTGTTCCAAGCGTTGGCCCGTTGGCTGTTGGAAGTTGACCAAGTGGGTGTCGTGATTCGGTCTGGTGGAGCACCCAGCGCCAGCATGAAGACTGCCTTCATCGACATCAGAAATTTTCGGACGGAACGCTATGGATGTGAACGTCTGATGCCTTTAGGTTAAAAAGTCCACGGAAGTGGCACACACCGTGGGCAGCAAAATGCAGACGACGTCCCCCCATCAAATGTGTTTCTGGCGTTGCATGTGTTGCGTTGCCCAGATCCCTACCCTCTTAAAAATGGAATTTGAGGGGGGGGAGTCGTACTGAAATTTCATTTTAAAATTCCATTTTTGCAATCATGTTTTCTCAATGATCAATATTCCTCATCATTCCATGTCATTGGCAAGCAGGTGGCTGCGAAATGTCGTAGCTTGGGCTTGGGTGCTTGAAATCAAACACGGCAGTCATTGGCCTTGCCAGGCTGAGTTGTCATGCACTTGATTGCTGTGCGTGAACATCCTCAATGGTGGTTCGTCAGGTTTGGGCCGTTTGGGCTGTAGACCGAAAGTCATTTGTTCCAAGCGTTGGCCCGTTGGCTGTTGGAAGTTGACCAAGTGGGTGTCGTGATTCGGTCTGGTGGAGCACCCAGCGCCAGCATGAAGACTGCCTTCATCGACATCAGAAATTTTCGGACGGAACGCTATGGATGTGAACGTCTGATGCCTTTAGGTTAAAAAGTCCACGGAAGTGGCACACACCGTGGGCAGCAAAATGCAGACGACGTCCCCCCATCAAATTCACTGTTTCTGGCGTTGCATGTGTTGCGTTGCCGCCAGATCCCTACCCTCTTAAAAATGGAATTTGAGGGGGGGGGAGTCGTACTGAAATTTCATTTTAAAATTCCATTTTTGCAATCATGTTTTCTCAATGATCAATATTCCTCATCATTCCATGTGGTGTTGGATGCAGAAAATGGCCCCCAGGCCATCAGCATCAGCATCAGCGGCATGTTATGACAGTATGACTAGGCAGCATCGCACTGCTCCAATTTCCCAGCTGGCATGACTAACGAGACCGCCTAACACTGCACGCACCACTGGCGCAGAGCAGGCCACATGAGTGCTGCTTAGTGCTTGCTTGATCCGATCTCGGAGCTTCAGCTCCACCGGCCACTGACCCTGCGGTGTCAGGCATTGGAGCACCGTTGTGGCAGCAGTTCTGGTGCCTACCTAAGAGGATGATCTTTGATGATGAATGCCATTGATGAGTGAGCTGAAACTTGATACGCCCGCAAAACCCCAACAAGAAGCTACCGGGGTTTCACTTTGAGTCTTTTTTGGTGCGCTAGGAAACTGGCATCCAGTGCGGGTCCCCAAACAAGGAACTGGCTGCAACTGATTCAGACCCATGGATTTTTACAACTTTTGCCAATTTTGAAGCGCATCCCCCCGCAACCCCTTTGGCCATAATTCTGGATCCAGGCACTTGTTTCAAAGCTGGCTCCCGCAAAGATTTTGAACTCTTCAAACGGCCAGGGCTTTTAAAATGGTGCTAATCCACTCTCAGCTGAGCCGAGTCAAAGTCGATCGTGCTCAGATTGAACATGTACATCTTGAACAAAGTGCGACTCAGCCAGTGATCTTTACACATATTGATTAGATACAACTTTGTTGCAAAAGTTTTAGATTGCCATAAGTCTCCACCCAGAATCGTGCGTGCCATGCATCGGCACAACTTTGCTTTTCAAAAAGTCGAAACGTGCGGCCTGTTTCAAAAACTTGCACCTTACGGGCAATTCTTTTTTTGCCAAGAAAAGAAAAACACTGCCAATTTAATTTCGCACCCCTTTTGAATATCCCAGCCAGCTCCAAGCCCTAAGATAATCTACCAAGATGCCGCTCTTGCACTGACCTTAAACTTTTTGACCAGAAAAGAGTGATTATGTACTGAAGCAGCATGGGCCCAGGGAGAAGAAAAAATAATCCCGTGGCAATTGCTTCGCCAACTTTCCACTGTGCCAGTGGTACTCGTTCATTTGCCTTAACCGGCGCCATTTGAGGAAAAGCCGCCCTGCAGTGCATCTCTGCGCGAGGAAAACATACGCTGGCAGCTTCAGCATGTGCTGCACACCTTGATCTGATCTGACTACCTGGGGCCACCCCTGTCAAAAATCGCCGGTTTCATGCCCAAAATTGGATCGTATATGATATGATGTGATATGATATGATATGACGTGATATTTTAGTATTATTATTATATTATATCATGTAACATTACATTACATTATACTACATTACTTACCTTACATTATATTATGTCATATCATTTTTTGTTTAATATTGTATTGTATTCCATTATATTATATTGTATTGTATTATATTATCATATATATATAAGATCATGTTATTTTATAGAACATTATACTATATATTGTATTGCATTATATTATATTACATTATATTATATTATATTATTTTATACATTATATCATATCATATTATATTACATTACATTACATTAATTATATTATTATCTTACATGTGAGTAGGTTGTTTGGGAAGGGTCTTCATGTGATTTGAAAAGTTAGGGGGACAGCTGGATGTCTTGAACCATTTTGGCTCAAGCCATCCAGCCTGTCCCCTCTGCTGGTTTTTCTTATGGCCTTGGCAGCGGTGGACTGGAAGGGCTGGCAGAGCAGGGCACTGGAATTTTTCCGGGCCCATCCGGCGCGGCAGCTGCCAAGCTCACGCGCTTCGAGCGCCTGGTCGTCAAAGGCGCCAAGGAAGCCTTCGCGGTGGTGCACTACAAGGCTGCCATCAAGGTCCGGGACCTTGGTGGCCAGCCTTGCACCCATTGCGGAGAGTGGACTGGGTGCTACTGCGAGGGGTGCACGGGCACACCGACGGCAGTGTGCACTACGTGCGACCAGGAGAGGCTTCTCTGCCACGCCTGCCTGGAAGCAGGCCACCTCTACTCCGATGTCGAGCGGGTCGGCCAGGAGGGACTCATCGAAGTCACTGGGTTTCACGATGAGCGGGGCCAGTTCATCCGCCTCGACACCTCCGTGCAGATCCCAGCAGGTGAAGTGCCGCGGAACCGAGACGGTACCTTCAACGTCGAGGAGCTCATGGCCTTCATCCAATGTGGACAACGGCCAGGACGACAGCATGGACCCCAGCCTTGAGCGAGTCCTGGGCGAGCTCCCAGTGAGTGTCCGTGAGGCCATCTTCGGGTTGGGCATCCGCTCACCTGGGGATTTCCACCACTTTTGGCCGTCAGCCCAGAAATGTTATGAGGAGCTGGCTCTTACGGGGCAGAAGATGGAGGCTCAAGGGGCCATGAAAGTGGCGGTGGCATGGACCAATGCCAGGCGATGCAGCTTGCAAGCTACAGAGGTGTTGGGCCTGGAGATTGCCAGAGAACGACAATCGAGTGTGGGTGGCCCACCTCGATCTGTCACTATGGCTGCCGCCCCTTCCCAGGTGCCTGAAGGCCCGCCGTCCAACAAGGTCCGGAAGCTTACACCGTCTGGCCTTCAGGCGCCTTTGCATGCACCGATGGTGACGCATGCTGCCACAGTGGACGCCTTCGCGAGGGAGGACGCCATGAAGCAGGCGAAGTTGGACCAGCTTTTTGTCTTAGTTGTTGAAAACGTGGTGGACCTGGCCGAGCTGCAGATGACTCCGGCCAAGCTGGCTGATCCTATGGCTCGTCAAGCCTTCAAGAACACCCTCATGACAGGGGCCTCCAGGCTCTCTGGGCAGAGACTGGGGGCCCTATCCTCCCACAAGGTTTTGGTGGCCTTCATCCTGATGGTGGCGACGGGCTGCATTCGTTTTGAACATGTGCAGCGATCCCACCTGGTGCGACTTCATGGTGCTTGGGTGGAATTTGAATGCTCGCAGGGCAAAGCGAGGAAGCAAGGAGCTCGCCCTGGGTACCACTGGGGGGTCCCACAGGTGACTATGAATGGACAGCACATGACAAAGGTGCTGCAGGAGTTCTTCACCCACGAGTTCAACCAGGATCACAAGTTCCTCCTGCCAGCGCTTGCCCTCGAAGCCGAGGATCTCTGGGAGATCACAGAGGCGACACCGTTCATCACCAACAAGCCGATGTCCCGGGCACGCTTTTTAGAAGTGATGCGGGGTGCCCTGGTGCAAGTGGGTGTTGACTTTGCCCAAGCCCAAGCTGCAACGTTCAACAAGCTCAGGCGTTTCATGCCGACGATGGCGAATGTGATGGAACTGCCAGACTTGGACCTTCAGTCCATTGGCAACTGGACTGAGCTCCCTGCAGGAGGTGGCCGGGACCCCTCTGCAAGGAAGCGCCGAGGGGTCTTGCCAATGGGCGTCCACTATGCTGGCTCCAAAGTGCTTCGGTCGCTCCAAGTCAAGCAGCGTTGTGTCGACCGCCTGCTGGCCCTGTACCATCGCAAGCGACCCGAGCTTGCCATGACGGAGCAGGGATACCTGTGTCGAGATGCCTGGCAAAGGGCGGAAGTAGCAGTGCTCCATCAGAGCCTGCCTGAAGAGTTGACGCCGCTGGTCCAGACCGCTACCTTGGGCGCCATTGAAGTCGACCCTGGTGGTTGGAGAAGCCTGAGACGGAGCAGGCAGTTGAGCTGCCCCTGGAAGCCGCCGCATCTTCGAGCTCAGAGGCTTCGACCGACGAGTCTAGCTCTGCTTCGGATGAGTCTGCTGACGCCCAGGACTTGTGCGGCGTGCTGGCAGATAGCAGCGCCCCAGAGGACCTCAGCTGGCTTCGACAGGGCAAGAAGGTGCACCTCGTTCGAGAAGAAGTGGAAGGACGTGCAGTTCCGTGGTGCCGTGACTTTGCCTTCAGGCAGGACCCAGCTGAGCGTGGACGGGGCTTCACGTTGACGCCGAGGGCTGACATATGCCAGCGCTGCCTTGGGCGTCTCCCTAGGGGACTATATTTGGCCTTGGCTGAGCATTGCCAATGGCTCCATTGACAGATGACGGGTTGAAAAAGTCAGCGCCTGCCACCTCTTTGATGTGTGCAGTGTGTTGGCGTCACCCCCCATTTGTTTTCTTTTGGATAGCTGGTTAAGTAGGGTTGGGGGGAGTCAGTTGCACTTCATGCCCGCTTGCCAGGTTGATGTGTTTGCGACCCCTAGCAATTTTGTGGCCCGAGCTCCGACGTTCACCATGTCGCGCATTGACGTGCACCAGGACGACAAAGGGCTTGCAGCATGTTGGGCTGGGGCGAACCTCAAGCCTGACTGGACGGCCGCCTACACGAAGATCCACCAGGTTTTGACCTTGGATGACTTCATTTACATGGTCAAGGCCAGCGACTGGGAGCAGTCACTGGGTGACTTGCTGTCCCAAGTCCCTGAATTGAAGGACAACCGCATTGCGGAAGCGCGGTTCAAGAGCGCTTATGAAGCGGGCCAACAGGCCCTTAAGCATGCGGCCCAATCGGCACCGAAGACTGAGGACCTTGATGAGGCTCTCCCTGATAGCACAGTGCAGCAGTTGAACACGGATTGGACGCGTCGTTACAACTTGCAGTTTGACTCCGTGCTTGAGCCCTCCGAGCAGCTTCGAGCCCGCGTCTATCGTGAGTTTAAGAAGGGCACCATGACGGTTGTCGATATGAAGAAGGTCCGATCGGTGCTCACCATGGCCCAACCGAAGCACGGTGACTCGATCGCTTTGCCTGGTGGTCTGCAACTGCAGCTGGAGAAGGAGGTCTCTGTGAGCCTCCGCTCAGTGACAGACTACTACTTTGTCATGCGTGTTTTGGCTCATGCGTGGGCCTGGGCTGGGAACTACTTGGTGCAGGTGGACAAACAGAGCGTCCTCTTCATGGATCTGTCCTGCGCCTTGCACTACTGCGACCGGGCCCTCAAGGACACCATGGAATTCGGGGGAGGTAGCCTGCTTTGGTTGCAACGCAACGACTCCCTGACCAGGGGAAAAATGGCCACTTACATCAGGCGTGGCCAGCCTGGGCAATGGGCTTTGGACAGCGCCTTGCGTGACGCGCGCCTCGACTGGCGGTCGCCTGCCGTGCAGCCCTTAGCCGAGGTTCCCGAGTCAAAGCAGAGCAAGAGGCCCCCTGAACCACCGGCGCCGACCACTGACCGGAAGAGACAGGTCCTTTCGCACGGTGAGCCAAATCAAAGGAGGCCAAAAGATTTGCAAACCTTGGAATGATGGCAGGGGATGCACTGACCCGAAGTGCCAAGCCTTGCACTGCTGCGATGTGCGCATGGATGAAGGGGGCCCGTGCTTGAGCAAGAAGCACACGAGGCTTGAGCATCACGCTTCCTAGGGACAGCACCCCCTAGGGACTGGGTCCCGGGGGGGTCGTCCTTTGCCTTTGACAGCAGCCGAACCTTCACATGCTCCTGCAGCACCTCAGGCTGGGATGATGGCCCCCTCTGATCCACAGCCCCAGGATAAGCCCCTCGCTGAGTCTTGGGAGCCGCATCGAACAGTTTTGTTGCATGATGAGCCGGGGACAACCTCGGCAGTTTTGCCGGCTGAGCTGAGCCAGCGCTTGCATGGGGCCAAGCCAGTCACTTGGCGTGGTCGGGGCGATTTGGCCCAGGTGCCTTGGACCTCGCCACCTCGCGGCACTTGGCTGGTCCTGGACTTGTGGGCCGGCTACTCAGGTTTGTGTGTGGCTTTGTTGCAACTGGGCATGCACTTCTTTGCAGCGGCAGCTGAGTGTGATGCTGATGCCCGCCAAGTCGCTCATGATAACATGCCCAACATCGTCCACGTGGAGCGGGTTGAAGCCCTCACTGCCCAAGCATTTCAGCCGATCCTACAACGCCGCAACATCCGTGGCGTTTTGATGGGTGGCGGCAGCCCTTGCCAAGGCAACTCCTCTCTGAATGTTGGCCGGAAAGGGCTGGATGATCCCAGGAGTTGCCAACCTTTGGAACTGAGGCGACTTTGAGACGAATTTTCAGCTCTCCCCGAGATGGTGGATCGAGAGCTTGTGGTGTTCTTGGAAAACGTTGGCAGCATGCCTTCAGATGTCAGGAGGGCGTACAGCTCATGGCTTGGTGGTGACCCTATCTTGATTGACAGCGCCACGTGTGGATGGGTGCAACGCCGTCGCCTATACTGGTTGGTTTCTACGAGCAGAGCCATCGCCCCGTGCCTTGCACCACCGTCTTGTTGGGACTGGGTCCCACAAGATAGTGGAGTGCCTTCATTGGCCTATGTGGGCGAGAAACCACTCCCCAACAAATGCTTCTTTCACCAGGGCTTTGGACCTTTGTTGGACCCCAAGACAGTGGTCAAATCCGGGGGCTCGGGCGCTATGCATCCTTTCACGAGGGAATTCTTCCATCCCACTGATCGGACGGCTAGCTCGTCAGCTGCAGCGGTGGAACGCTTCCTCTCAGATGCCCGGCGGTTTCCTCCCTCGGCGTATGAGGAGCGCTCCTTGTTGTGGAAGGACCAGCAGTGGCGGCAACCATTGCCCTCTGAACGTGCCCAAATGATGGGCGTTCCCCCAGGTAGTTTTGATTCTGTGCCTGGTGATGCATCATTGAAACGACAGCGACAGAACAGCCTCATTGGCAATGGATTTCACGTCTTCTCTGTGCTGGCCGTCCTGTGCTTCCTCCCCCAGCTGCTCGAGGCCAAGTTCGTGCCACACCTGTTGCCTGCCGACGAGTTGTCCCTCCGTGAACGGGTGCAGCACACGGTCTGGGAGCCTGGCCGCCTACGGCACTTTCCCCAGCTGGTGTCGGCTTCTGATGTTGCCAACGAGCTACCAGGCCTGTTTCCACACTGTGTGTTGTCTCCAGGCCTAATCGCCGACGTTCTGAGGAGATTGGAGCCCTGTGAGCTCACCGAGATCCAGGGGTATATGGCATGGTGCAAGCTTCGAGGCCTGCCAGTGGATGACATGGGCCCACAGCACATGACTCGGATGGATCGGGCCAAAGTTTACAGTGGCCTGACTGGCCAGCGGCATGCGGCCGATTCATCCAAAGGTTTGGATCACCTTTTGGTCCCTGGCCTGGGCAAGCTGGGTCACATGGAAGCTTCCTCCCAGCTGCCCTCGCCCTTTCAACCGACCGATTGGCCCGAGCAGGACGTGATGTTTGCGGTCGATGCTATTTGTGTCTGGCGACAGTACCTCCCAGCATATGCCAGGCGCTTGCGACAGGTGTTGAAGTCCGTCGCTCTGGCTCTCCGTCCTGTCGAGGATGCGCTCGCCCAGTGGCGCTCTGAGAGTGCTCGCCGGGTTGCAGCGACGAAACGCCCTGCCTTCATCGCGACGCTGACCATACTGCTGCGCTGGCCCGACCTGACTCAAGGCCAGTGTCTGGTGACTGGTTACCCTATTGTGGGGGAGATCGAACCATCTGGCCTATTCCGGCCTATTGCAGCCAAGGAAGTCGAGCCGCTGGACCAATGGCTTGTGGATGCTGGAGCCATTGTGGATGCGTTGGTGCAGAGCAGGCCCCCTCGGCATGCTGCGGACATCCTTGAGCAGACCCTGGCTGAACAGCAGAAGGGCTTCTGTTCTCCCTCATACACGCGAGCTACCATGGACCGCATGTTCGGCCCGAATGCCTGGAGGCCGTTGGAACGCTTTCAGATCGTTCAGGCTGACAACAAGAAGAGGATGATTGACAATGGCAGGCGTACTCACCACAACGCCCACACAAGTATGCAGGAGACTATCTTCACTGTCAGCATTGACTTTGTGGCTGCCGTGGCCGCCTCCTTGTGCAAGCGCCTCACAACACACACCTCCACCGGCAACGTGCCAGATTGGCTCCGACTCCGTTTGGGGACGGATGACCTCCCGGACGCTTACAGAGGCCTGCCAGTGTGCGAGCCGCACCAGCGCTTCTCCATCGTGGCCATCTTCGTTCCGGACTGTGGATGGAGGTTTACAGTGCTCTGGGGCCTTGCATTTGGCCTTGAGAGTGCGGTTGTCTCTTTCAACCGTTTCCCTCAACTTGGCATCGCCATAGCCAGGCGCTGTGTACTCAGTATGGGGGCAGCCTACTTCGACGATGAGCTTGCCTTGGAAGCTGTTGCAGACGCTGATGTTTCTCAGGTTGGCCTACGGCTCGTGTTCCAACTTATGGGTGCCCCTCCTCAGCGGGAGAAGGGCTTCAAACCGACACCCAATCGCCACTACTTGGGCACCTCCGTTCACACGGGTGACGTCAATGATCGAGGTGTGGTTCGAGTTCAACCTAAAGCCACTACTGTCAGCAAGGTCTTAGCCAAATTGGATCAAATTTTGAGTTCTGGCCAGCTCTCGCGCGATGATGCTGGCAAACTTCGGGGTGACGTCACCTGGCTGTTTACTATGTGTTCAGGCCATCTAGGCAAGCTTGCTGGGCCGGCGCTGACTGCCCACCAATTTGGTGACAGCTCACTTCTCCAACCTGATGAGCGACGCCAGCTTGAAGTCCTTCGTTTGGCAGTGCTTAGCTCCAAGCCCCGTGACATTCCAGTTCATATTCAGTGTGCCCAGGTGACACGCGTCTACTCTGATGCATCTTTCGAGGACGGTATCCTCCGGTTGGGCTGGGTCATTTCCCCTCCGACCTCAATGCCGGTGGGTGGAACCTGTGTTGTTCCCCCGTCGGTTATTGCCCACTGGAAACCACGGACTCAGCAGATTTATCCAGGAGAGACGCTAGCAGCTGTAGTGGTCCCAGCGCTGTGTCCCACAGTCCTCTGCAACGCAGATGTCCTGTGGTTCTTTGACAACGAATCCGCTGTCAGCGCTTTGATCCGCGCCTCTACGGCCGAACCTGATGTCTTGATCCTAGTCCAGCAAGCTCACCTTCAGTTCAATGACCTTCGGATGAGGACCTGGATTGAATGGATTGACTCGGCCTCTAATCCCGCTGACGGCTTGTCGAGGCTCGGGTTGTTAGATGAATGGACTGCCACGCAACCGTGGCACGTCCAAGAGTTTTCTTTCCCTCCTCTTAGTGATCCGGCTACGTTCTTAGCCCAGTTAGCTGCGCCGATAGGTAGTGTTAACAGTGGGTGAGGATATTAACGATGGGTTTGGTAGGTGTCCAAAGATGTTCTTTGACCCTAACTATCTAAAGAGTGTAAGGGTTATCTGTGATACCCAACCTCTTTCTGACCCATTGTTATTTCATAACAATGTGGACTGTTAACACTTACAGCGGCGTAGCTAGACTTGATCCTCGAAGAGTGCCGGTGAAAAGATTGAGAGAGCACAGGTTACCTCCCAATCTTTTCTTATCTTACATGTGAGTAGGTTGGTTGGGAAGGGTCTTCATGTGATTTGAAAAGTTAGGGGGACAGCTGGATGTCTTGAACCATTTTGGCTCAAGCCATCCAGCCTGTCCCCTCTGCTGGTTTTTCTCCCTCCCTCCTCTCCCTGATCCCCTCTGCGGGGTGATGGGGGGGGGGGCTTTGTTGGGTTTCCAGCCCCCTCCATTACTTTTGTTTGGTGTGGGTTTGGTAGGTGTCCAAAGATGTTCTTTGACCCTAACTATCTAAAGAGTGTAAGGGTTATCTGTGATACCCAACCTCTTTCTGACCCATTGTTATGTCATAACAATGTGGACTGTTAACACTTACAGCGGCGTAGCTAGACTTGATCCTCGAAGAGTGCTGGTGAAAAGATTGAGAGAGCACAGGTTACCTCCCAAGCTTTTCTATTATATTATATTATATTATATTATATTATATCATATTATATTATATTATAATATATTATAATATATTCTATTATATTCTATTATATTGCATCTATACAAATACACATAGACTTTTTGAGCAACCAATTGTCCAGGCCTCCAAGAACAATAGCTGGGAGACCAAAAACGGTAAACATACACAACTGGTCACCAGGAATTGCGTGTTCGTCCTCGTCCTTCGACATTCGTCCTTTGTCCTTCGTCCTTCCTCCTTAGTTTTCGTCCTTCCTCCTTCGTCGTTGTCGTCGTCGTTGTTGTCGTCGTTTTTTTTTGTGTGTATTGTTGCTTCTGCTGCTTCTGCTGCTATTTTGTTTCGTTCCTTGTGAAGTTTTGTAAGCAGCTGGAACCGGTTCTTTGGACAGTGCGTCGCTGGTTGGTGTCTGTGGTGTCTTGGTACCGTACAGAGATAAAATTTGGAAAGCAGGGATTCAGTATTAGTTTCCGATGTTTCCGAATTTTGTTCGAATTTTGGTGTTGTTTGTCGTATTTGGAAGGACAACCAATGTCCGGACATGTGACCGGTAGAATGGGATAGGCAAACATGAGCAAACAACAGTTTCTGGGCGAGGACTGCCAAAAACTGCTGGCCCTGATTGAAATGTATATATCTTGCCTATTCCCTATTTTATTTGTATGGGATTCTTGGTTGACTTGAACATGTATTTTTGTGCGTGACAACGTTTTCTTGATAGTTTTCCGTTTCGGGGTTTGAATGCTTGAATGAAGATATTGAATGAAGATATTTGCGGGAACCGTGTGGTGCAAAGTTTTCAAACGCTGCTTGCCATCGCAGTTTTTGAAGCGTCTTCAAAATAGCAACATGGCAAACATAATCAGACATATCATGTGGATTCATGTGGCGCATTCTTTAATTTCAGAATTCAGAAATTTCTTCTAAAACCACAGCTGCGCAGCCGCTGCAACTTGGCTGCAGTGAACATGGAAAATCCACGAAAATCGTTGGGAAATCTCGAAGGAAATGAAGGTTTTTAGCTGGGAAAATCGCTGCAGAATGTCAACCCCGGATTAATAAACCCATGGGTTTTGAAATGGTACCAAACCCCAATTCAACAGCCGTAAACGGGGTTTATTAATCCAGGGTTGACATTGTTTTTGGTGGTTTTCCATATCTGATTCCAGGGTCAACCTCTATTTAGTGCGGGAATTTTCCAGCGTTGATGACACCCGGTAAAGCGGAGGCACCGCCGTCCCAAGGCGACACGATGAAGCACTGCTCCGCCGTCCCAAGGCGACACGATGAAGAACTGCTCTTCACAGTGCCTTGGTTTTCAGAAGCCTCTGGTAAACATACAAAAAACGATGGAAAGATCCACCATGCTATTAATGGGTAAATCAACTATTTCGACTGGGCCATTTTCAATAGCTATGTTAAATTACCAGAGGGTATGCCATTTGAGAAATAACTTGTAAGAAACGTCTAAGTATCAAATTTAAACCAAAGAAAATGTGGATATAATTGATAAATGATGATTGGTTGGTAAAATGAATGTTATGCTACCCAATATTCATTGGGCTTAAACTCCGGGAATCCCCACTAACTAATTAACAATTTTCCGATTTGGGCCATTCCCATGTCGATTTTTGACGCTGACTCATTTCGAGCTTTTTTTTGGCATCTTGGCACCGCCCAGGTGTTCACCAATCGTTTCCGATGGGAGAAAAAGGGATGGGTCAAAACCTACCACAATCTGAGTACCAAGGAACTGACCCATAGCAGCCCGTAGCCTCCAGTAAGCTAACATAGCTATGGCAATCCATGGGGTCCCAAAATGATCTACCTTTATGGTGGATTTTCCATATCTTTTTTTGGGGTTCCTGGAGGGTAGCTATCTTGAGTACTGCTCACCTTTCCATGGTGCTGACCACATGAGGTGATGGAGACGTTTCTTCTGGATGCGACCAGCGTTGGGCTGGTGGACGCTTTGCTCCATCGCAGGTCCGAAACTTCGGTGACCACAAGTGTCAGGAATTCCCAACCCCAGCAACATGGCTAACTGGAAAATCACTCATTTAGTTCGACGAGTATCTCATATTTCCCTATTGAAGTTGGGATTAGCAGAGGTTTTGAAGTCGCCGTGGAAGTTTTTTGTTTCTTCCAGTGTTTATTGTGGTGGCTGGTGAGGTGCGGGTGCCTCAATCTGGTTGGTTTTGTTGACAAATCTCAAGCAATGCTGCTCGACGCCCCTGGGCTGACAGTGTGGATCCTGGAGCAGTGGCGAACAAATTCGGACTAAGTTTGAGTGGTTGCGTTCTGCTGCCTGGTTTTACAATGTGTTACTGAGACTTTGAAAAGATCTATGACTTGAGAATTTTGCTCTCGGCAAAAATCAGTAGCACCACTCTGGCAGGCTTTTCCATTATCGAAGCATCTCAGCCTTTCTTTCTGATGTTGCAATGTCAGCTACCAAGGAAAACGCGGAATGAATCTGAAAGACCAGATCGCTGAGTGAGATTCCCAGATGTGGAGGGATCACCACAGAGATCTGGGCAGCTCAAGCTGAGGTCACATATTTGGGCCCTGGAATGGTAGCACGGGGCCCACCTGTCCGAATCAATCAGGCACAGGGTTGGGCACATTCCTCTACGCTTGAAACACTGAGGGATTAACGAGTCATTTTATGTACGAACTCAACTTCCATTGAGCAGTGCTATTTGGTGAACCTAAGTTGGACGGTTTCAGGCGCTGGACATGACCATCACCATTTCTGGTTGCTTTAGTACACCGTTTCCAGTAGTTGCCAATTCTACTTGAAATTGATTGTTGTGTGTGTGTGTGTGTGGACCATCTGAACGGATGTAAAACTTCTTTCAGGTTTCTGCTGCATAGGGTTTTTCATGGTTTTTGGTTTTCTAGTTCCAATTTATTTCATGCAGGGGGTGCCGGGGGCACTGATGAGACCGGCACTAACAAAGACACTCATCAGTTGCCTGTGATATCGATGAGGACGCTCATCGACGTACCTGCTTCATTTTCATGTCAATCTCTGCAATGGGACGTGGCTAACCCAAGAACCACCATGCCGTTTCATTTGAAATTTCCAATTTACTGCACTGTTGTCGCAATCTGGAATTACTTTCGATCTAATATGTATGGCTCTGCTTCATCAGAACCTTCCTCAGAGCAGGGACGTAGAAAGCTTACTTCGCACTGAAGTTCACGCTGGATCAACTAAATTTTCCTGTTAGTTTTTAATGGATTGTTTTGTGCACGTGAGATGCATTCCACAACAAAATTCGCAATGACGTTTCTGAGCAAGTGTGTCACTCATACCGTTGTCCGACAAGGTGGTATGAGCCCTTCGGGGAAAGCCTTTCTAGGCTAAAAATTGACGGTAAAACGATGTCGGAATTTACACTTTTGAATTAGTAATTCGTTTAAGTATTGTGAAACAGCCGTTCACCTTTCAGGTTTCACTTTGACGGTCGTTGTGTTGAACAATGGGCTGCCGTTTGAGCACTCACCATTTGGAGCGACTGACATCCTGTCCCTGGTAGCCTGCTGAAAGCTGTGGAAACCTTCTTTTTCCAACTTTGCCCAAGAGAGTACGGAGCTCGACAGTTTGCAACATGACATGGAACCATGTGGAGGCTTCAGGGCATGCTTTCCAGGTGTGGTCACTTCTTTTTTGGTTTCTCGGTGAGGTTCAACTGTGCACGTAATTCATTTGAACACTGATAGCCGTCGATAGGGTTGACGTGAATTCAGGCCGTTGAGCCTAATGAGGGGATTTTTGCACGTTCATGTGGATGCATCATCTCTTTTTTGAACTAATTTTTGCTGGTTTAAAGAACCTGACAGAGCTGCCATGTTCCCTGGACGATATCCTGCCGCTTCCGACAACATGTGGGCCTTCTGGAACCCACAAGCGATGGGACTTCAAGGTCAATTTTGTGGAAGTGATCTTATGAACCAACAGTCACAGGCTCAGCCCCAAGCTCAGACTCAGGCACAACTTGCGGCTCTTCGAGAGCAAAATAACATCTTGAATCAACAACTGGGAGTACAAGCTCAGACACATATCCAGCACCTCCAACAGCTCCTGCCATTCCACCAATCCACGTTCCATTCACATCCACCTCAGCACACTCCTTCCGTGCCTGAACCACCAACACCAGTGGCGCCTCAGTCCACACCACCGAGTTCAAATGCACCCTTCAATGCTGAAGAGATGATGCAACAGATGAAGGACACAGTGGAGTCCAGTATGAAGGCGTTTGTGGACAAGAACCAAGAGCGCAACGTGAACCCACCTCCTGCTCCAGCTCCATTACCAAGTCAAGTTGCTCCACCTCTTCA